GCGGGGAGGGGTCGCGGAGGGGTCGCCGGCCCTGATTCGGGTCAGGGTGACTGTCCCGACCGCCCGACTGTCCCGATGGCGGCCCGAAGCTTACCGAAGCTCGGCCGAAGCTGGCCGAAGCTTGGCCGAAGCCTGGCCGAAGCTTGGCCGAAGCTTGGCCAAAGCTTGGCCGAAGCATGGCTGAAGCTTAAGTGAAGCTTGGCCGAAGCTTGGTCAAAGCTCGGCCGAATTTTGGCCGAAGCTTGGCCGAAGCTTGGCCGAAGCTTGGCCGAAGCTTGGGCGAAGGTACAGCCGAGCAGAGTGACTTGAACGCGGTGACCTGACGCGCCTTGGCCAGATATGCATCTTTAGGTTGGGATCTTTTTCAGTTTGCAGAGCGAACTTGAAACCACCCGCGGGACTCAAATCACATACCTGGCTGTCGCCAAACGGATTGCCCTTCGGATTGGAAGCGTAGACCTCCTGGCGAAGCCTTCGCGGAGCCCGTGCGGGTAAATTCAGCTCGAAAACGGGAACAGAATAAAACGCAGAGGAAGAGGGACGCAAAAAGGTCCCGCCTCGCACGACGCGCCGAGCAGCGCCGAGCAACGCCAAGCAACACGACGGAAACAAGGACAACAAAAAACAGAACGCGAACGGATGCAGGACGCTGAGGCTGAAGGCCGACCAGGCCGACCAGGCCAAGCCGTGCATTGGGGGTCGCGTCTCTGGTGTAGCAGCAGCCAAGTCTGCAACGTATTTTCGGAAGGCGGAGGGGGAAAGGCCTTTTCTGCCGTTTTACCTACACGGCCGTGCCGACAGTGTGCCGACAGGTCGGGGAAGGCGATTGTGTGTGCTTTCGCCTGAGAATGTTTACAAATTGGATCGCAGTGTGCCTCGCCAAGGGTAGGCCAGCGTGGCGGTGATGGCTGGTTCGGTAGATTGCATGCATTGCTCGGCCGACAACGATCGCTCGATTATGCGCCTTTGCTCTTCTTCTTCTTCTTCTTCTTCTTCTTCTTCTTCTTCTTCTTCTTCTTCTTCTTTCCTCTTTCCTCGTCCTCTAGGAGCTGCCACGCCGTAGCTGCGCGCCACAACTATAAACATTTGTCGGAGGTCGGGGCTTAACTGCGTCCGTTTCTCTGCGTGCTAGAGAGACCAGAGACCAGGGGTTGTCGCTCCCGCCGCGGCCAGAAATAGTTATTGGCCTCTCCCTTGCGCCTCACCTTTCTCCCGTGTGCCGCGTCTGTTTATTCGAATCTCCGCGACGCGTGTCGGACAAAGAGTCTCTTCCCGCGTCGCTGCGCAAGCCGTCAGTCTGAGGGGCGCGAAGGGCCTAGAGGCGAAGGTTGCATCCTTGGCGGCTCCTCGCCCAATCGCTGTGATCTGCTCAGGGATTCTCGTATCGAGCTTCAATCAGGAGACAAAGTACTGTCGTTTCATCACTTGGAACAAGACAAGAGTCGCTGCTCATGACCCGAAAGTGACTTGGTAGTGGGAGGAATAGGGTTTGTATTTGACCGACGCCTACCCATACTTTGTGACCGTCATCAATTTTGCCAATTTTTGTCCTCAAGTGTGTCTCACTTCATACAAATCAATTGTAAATTCCCACTTGCCGAGATAAAATTGTCCATTTTCCGGATTCGTGCTCGCTATGTTGAATGGCGAGTAATGTGTTTATCTCGACGGACGTCTGACTGACCGTCAATGCTTGAGATTGCGACAGAGCGGTAGTTACAGAGAGTGCACAGTGCGCAGGACAACTGATCTTTTGTAGCGTACCGGGTCCGAGTACCGCTCTTTCCCCGACTAATGTGTGTGGTTATCCTGCCGCTCGATCCGACTGGCCTTGCGCCGTTTCACAGTGAGCTGCATTCGTTACGTAAGCACCGCCATCCGACTGACCACGCTGCACAGTTGTCTAAGAATGCGATGAGTGACGGTTAGCAGACTGTCTTCCTGCTTTTCGGTGGCAATGTCTGTTATTGTCAAAGAAGGATCGCAAAGTCACTTTCAGGTACTTGATGTCCCTTTTTCAGATAATCTTGAACTCATCCCGGCGTTGACATAGAGTCCCCAATCTTCACCAGAATGTGTATATTTGAGCCAAATTGATGTCATTTTGATAGGAAAAAGACTTGCTATGTCCTCCGAGCTCGAACAGCGTGGGTTCATGGTGCGTCTGAACTCTCAAGTCAGGTGACACGTTTTCTCGACGGTTGGTTCTGAGCGTGGTTATGCAAGCAGGTTAATAGGATCGGTGCTGTAGGCTAAGGTCAGCAGGAGGTCTAGTCTAGCCAACGAGGGTAAGGCTGATCTGCACACTAAATAAATGGAAGTGGACACTTTCCATCCTTGGAAAGACACCCAGGGATGCAAAGTAGTTCAGGCACGATTGGTGGTACGTTCTGAGAAAAATATGTCCTTTTGCCAGTTGTCTACGGTGTTCGTTCATTGACATTCAGCGTGTGCCAGACGGGTGAGGCAAACGTAGTTAAATCCCCGTTACATCTATTCCGACGAGTGCGTGGGGGTTGTTGGACAAAGTGCTGGTGACGTTATGGCTCGCGACCTTGCCACGCTGCACTGTATGCTGCAGTGCGGCAGCGCACTTCCTACTTAGCCAAGGCCTGCTGTGACGCGGTGCACTGCGGGTTGTGGAGATCCAGGCCATGGGCCTGTGCAGCAAGGACGCGCCGTGTCCCTCCGCCCTCAGCGCCCTCAGGCAGGTCGCGTCGCAAATCAAACAACGCAGTCTGTCGCCCACCGAATCTACTGTCGGCAGGACAAAGTACATAGGTCCGTTCCTTTTACTTCGTGCTTGGTTTGCTCACGTTCAGCCAAAAGTTTGCGCATTTAACCATATTGGTTGTTCTTCCTTTTAGACTAACCTGAAAATTTCTATTGTCAGTCTTAGACGTTTTCTTCTGTTTTTTTTTCTGCTCGAGGTGGCTCTAAAGACAATTCATTCTGCGTTGTAAATAGACTCTTGTTCGATCAAGTTCTAACTGACAGCTCGCCTCCGCCAGAACGACGTGATCAGATCAGCCTTAAATTGCGTAAGACGCTAGCACTCGTAACAGGAAGTCCGCTCGACCTTGTCCCGATGCTCGTCGGCTCACTCACTTCTAGTGAAGACCGTCGCGAAGATAACCCCCTTCCTTTGAGGACGCCCTCGCAGTTGGCGGGAAATTTCAAATGGAGGAAGGCATCACCTCTCATCACCCTCAACACCTAAAGCATTGACTTCGTCTGGAATGACCTTTGTCGGGGTCAATTCACCGTATTTCAAATATTTCCCATGGCCGTCAGTTTCCTAATTGAACATGTTGACTCCCGGGGGTGGCCATGCCATTCTTGGTTGAAACTGCTTTGGATTCTTCTGGGTGAAATTGAAACGGAAGATGCGACACACCTTGATGTGAAATTTGAAGTATTGATGCAGCTGTCAGTACAACCATGTCGTGCCAACTGCCTGTTTGAGGGTTCTGCAGATGCCACGTGCGTGCACTGTCCAGGCAGCCGGCTTTTCGAGGCTGTTTGTATGTTTTCTGAATTGACCGCCAAAGACCACGGCCTTTTCGAGTGAAGTGTCAATAATCCGGCGTGGAGGGCGCATGGCGGCCCATGGCGGCCCATGGCCCTTTTCCAGCCCAGCGGGTTTGTGGGCCGTCGCGTGTCCAATGGCTGCCATGAGCAGAGAGACCTGAGGCCGGGCCTAGTGCACCATGGTCAGGAAGTTGCGCCAATATCTCGCCCTTCACTGTGGGTTTGACGTCACCCGAATGTGAGTCACATTTGACTTGGTCATTTTTCAAGGTGCCTTTATTTTTGGTCCTCGAATTATGCTGATGTGTCCTAACCGTATTCGTCAAATGTTCCTATGACGAACCAAATTAAAAAAGAAGTAAGCCCTTGCACGGAATCCATCTTGCGCCAACCTTCTGTTCTTTCAAAAATGGTTGTTCTGCTGGCCTTTTTTTCTCAGTGTTACACTAGTGCACTGATGTGCCATCAAAGTGAAAAGTCCTGCGTACTGCCTGAGACGTGCAGTCCTGTGCGGCGTCGGCCGTACCGAAAAAAAGACGTACAAAAAGTGAATGACCTCCTTTGCTGCATGGCGGCTGCAAACTGCCGGTCGGGGGAGGGGAAGGGAGGGGGAAGGCTGGGAGGGGCGAGGAAGGGACGCGTGCCAAGGAGAGAAAACTCCGTGACCCTGATTCCCTCCACATTCGCCCAGCACCTGCCAGAGGCCTGCCACCTCACTAGTCGCGCTCACTCACACTCCTCACTCCTCCTCACTCCTCCTCACTCCTCCTCACTCCCTCACATCCACTCTCTACCAAAAATCACCCCAGTCACTCCCTCGAACCAATCGGCCTGACCCCACTTTTGGCACCATCACTTGTCTCTTACTTTTCTCTCGCCGAGCACTGGTTCCCACTTCGGAACCAATCACTCGTCACCGTTCAAGTGTTCACTCGAACCATGCAGTCAGTTGCATCCGGTCACTTTCAATCACTCCTAGCTCAGTCACTTTCAGTCACACTCTGTCACTTATGTCACACTCGGTCACTTTCAATCACTCCTAGCTCAGTCACTTTCAGTCACACTTCATCACTTACGTCACACTCAATCACTCCCAGCTCAGTCACTTTCAGTCACACTACATCATTTATGTCATAACTCAGTCACTTTCAGTCACACCTCTTCCAGTCACTGTCTGTCACACCTCTTCCAGTCACTATCAGTCACACCTCTTGCAGTCACTGTCAGTCACTCTGCTCTTGAACTGCCGCGCTGTCTTGAACTTGAACCGCCTGAACTTGAACGTGGCAGGGGCAGGCGCGCAGGCCGGCGTCTCTCCGGCCCGCCTCTCCTACCTTTCCCTTGGCAGTAATGGGTTCAGGAAGGGGAAAGGGAGGGGGGAGAGCTCGCCGGTCGGGTTCTGGACTGTTCGGCCCTCACTTTCTACATGTCTAGTTGTCCACGTCTTACGGTTGTTTTGCTTGTTCCAGGTGTGTATCGCGCCGCCGGTCTGGCCCTGGGTGCCCCTGCCTCGCCTGCCCGGCCTGCCCGGCCTGCCCCTCGGACCGCTCCTGTTTCATCCGAACGGTGGGTCCGGAAGACGTCTCGGGAAACTCCTCAGAGTCTCTTGTTTTCACAGAGTACTCTTTCTTGTTGGTCACGCGCCCCGCTCATGTTCCGAACGAGTTGCCCCCCCCCCTCCCCCGCCCCTTCTCCCGGCCCGCCGGCCCGCCCCTCTCGTGCACCATTGTAGCATCTAACGGTCCACTGAAAGCGGCCAAAGCGGGTCACTGGGCTATACCATAGGGCTGGGTAGCGCCGAGTCGAGCCGAGTCGAGCCGAGTCGAGCCGAGTCGAGCCGAGTCGAGCCGAGCCGAGCGCCTTTTCTCGACTCCACGCAACTCGTCGGCTTACGGTGCTCTGGCAGCTCTAATGTGACCGGCAGGTCAGTGGCCAGTGAGGTGCCAAACGCCGTGGGGGTGGAGCTTCCTGGTTCGACAGCCTCACTCTCTCAATAATGGAGTCAACTCAATCAAAATTTGGGCAGGACGAACGCACTCACTGTGTGCGTAGACATGAAAACCAAAACTCAACTCTTTAGTTTATTTGATGAAATTTTTTTTAGTGCTCGTCTTGGCCGGAAAATGCCGTTTGAAACGGAAACTCGACAAATTCTCTTCCAAACCTGTAATGTGACCCGCGGCGCGACCACTTTCTATTTTCTGGGCACAGTCGTCCATCTACCGCAGGCTTCCCAAAAGCCTGGGAAAACTAGAACGCCAGCCAGGGAATGTCAGAGTTGAAATTTATAGTCGTGAAAGGTCAGGATTTTTCTATTGTTCTGCCAAAAACTCTTTTTTTTTATGATTTATTTTTACATTTTGCTACTACTATTGTGACATTAGATTAAATTGTTTTTTTTTTCAAAATTTCATCCTTTAAAATGATGAAAAATGCTTTTTGGGCGACGTGGGTGGGCGCTGTCACTGCCTGTCACCCGGTCAGTTTTGCGGCGGCTGAGGTAACCTCCCCAGCAGTGACGTCGCATATTGCACGTCGGCGGCCTGACAACAGTGATAGCCGCGGTGTGGGAGGAGCACCGTTAGTCGGTCCCGTTCCACTGTCGGTCCAGTTCCGACGAGAGAGAGAGAGAGAGAGAGAGAGAGAGAGAAGAGAGGAGAGAGAGAGAGAGGGGGGGGAGACGAGGGCAGGTGCGCTCCGAGCCACCTGGCTTCACCGTGTATGCGTTTAGTTTTGGGATCACCTCGATCGCCACCGTGAGAATATCCCAAGACAAAGGGATAAACCCGAAACTGTTTTTCTCAAATTTATTACTTAAAAAAAATTCTAATTTAAAAAAAAATTCAATTTTTGTTTATTTATCTCTCTTTGGATGAAACAATAAATCTTGAGTCAAAAATCAACTTTTTTTATGAAACAATAAATCTTAAGTCAAAACTAAATCTCTTTTTTGATGTAACAATTAATCTCAAGTCAAAAGTCAAGCTTTTATCCTTGGTTGGTAAAATTTCCAAAATAAAATAATGAAGGCAGGAAAAAAAAATTTCTGGGTGTGCGGCCGTACTTATTGTCACCCGTGAGAGCACGTACAGTGTAGTAGCATTAGTGAGAGTAAGCGGGGACACGGGAAGAACGGTACCGAACGCGGCGGAATCGTTTCGCGGGAAAGAGTCCTGGGTGTCCTGCGGGTCGGCCGGCCGGTCGGGTTGCAAGAAGGCCGGGTGATGCAGTTTGTGCAGTTTTCTGCGCCGGCCGACTTTTCAAGGTCCGCGTGCCTTTTGTCGATTCGGCGAATGGAACCCGTTCGCTTTCGCGTCGCCTCTCTGCCGTGCCGTGCCGTGGCGTGCCCGGGTCGCACATCGCTTTGTTTGGCGACACGCCCTTTCAGGCTCTGAGATTGCGTGGAAGGATTCGGTAATGTAACGGGATGCGACCATTGACGGTGTGCCGGTCGGCGGCCCGTAACCTCTTTACCTGCTGCTTCGATGCTTCGATGCTCCGCTGCTTCGCCCCGGATCGGAAACAAAGGCGGGGGGGGGGGGGGGGGGGAAGCATCGGCAACGCGAGGAGAAGAAAAAGTGTTGCGGTGGTACAGTTAGGTCGTTTGCCGCCCCCAAGGCCCTCAAGGGCAAGGGCATGCCCGAAGGGCCCGAAGGGCGAGCCTGAAGGCTGAATGGAGGAAGGGGTACAGTGGGCGCTGGAGGACCGGTGGAGGCGGCCGATACGCTCGACGCGTTTTGAGCTCCAGAGTCGCTAAATGGGACTCGAAGCGAACGTGTGACCCCACCAATGGATTGCTCTCCGAACGAGGAATCCATTGGTGGGGTCACACGCTCGGTTGTGGCTCACAAGGCGTGGACGGGGTCCTTGGCCGCCAATGCCCAACAGGAAGGGTAAGGCAGGCCTAGGACGTCCTAGGCCAGGCGGGGCTGTTTGGGAAAGCTGGCTGCCTTTGGCCAAGCCTTCGGCCAAGCCTTTGGCACAGCGTTAGGTGGCATACTTGCTGACTTTGTGAAAGCAGTGCCCAGTAGCACTGCGCGCGTGCGTTCAGGACGGTAGCCGAGGTTTCCGGTTTCCGAGCCAGAGGGACATTGGAGGCGGCCAAAACTCTAGACGCGTTTTGAGCTCCAGAGTCGCTGAATGGGACTCGAACCGAACGTGTGACCCCACCAATGGATTGCTCTCCGAACGAGGAATCCATTGGTGGGGTCACACGTTCGGTTCGAGTCCCATTCAGCGACTCTGGAGCTCAAAACGCGTCCAGAGTTTCGGCCGCCTCCACCGGTCTTCTGGCCCACTGTGCGCCGTCATTTTCACCTCTCGGCGGCACCGGGCCATCGGGACGCCGGCGAAGGGGTCAACAGCCCGGCGGGCCACTGTGGGCCGCTGCGGGTTAGGTGGCTCTTCTCGCTCGCACCCGCGCGCGGCCCCGACGAGTGCGTGAGTGACAGAGCGACGATGACGTCACTCGTGAAAGTGCGGGAGGGGCGGAACCGGGCGGAGCCGTGTCGTTCACCCTGGGATGGGCAGTGTGCCGGCGTGGCCGGCGTGGCCGTCGCATCCGGAAGACACACTTCCACACTTCGACTCGACCCACAGGGATGACGTGGAATCGAACGGGGAGTCGAGGTGACGTCAAAAAGGACCACTGCTTGACGTCAACATGGACCGTGTGTTGACTGTCGCCTCCAGTGGGCCCATTTTGACCACGTCCCAACTGGCTTCAGCTTGGCCTCTGTAATTTCGTCAGAAAAGAAGGCAGTGAATAGTGAAAATTGGCATTGTAGGCACGTGGCGGTACCCCCCCCCCCCCCCCTCTCTCTCTCTCTCTCTCTCTCTCTCTCTCTCTCTCTCTCTCGTGGGCCAATTAAACCGATGCACTGCAGGTGCATAGCGGGGGAATTCGAACGGGAAAACGCTCTGACGCAGTGAGGGCCAGTGACGCAAATCGTTCTTCCAGCGGTCTCTCTCTCTCTCTCTCTCTCTCTCTCTCTCTCTCTCTCTCTCTCTCTCTCTCTCTCTCTCTCTCTCTCTCTCTCTCTCTCTCTCTCTCTCTCTCTCTCTCTCTCTCTCTCTCTCTCTCTCAGGAGTGAGACACTTTGCGGCTTCGCGATCGTTGGCGGCGTTTCGACTGTCGTGAAACGAGAAGAGTGTCATTAAGCAAAAACGAAAGGCAAGGACGATAAGGGAGCCTGTTTCGGTAATTGACGCAGGGCTCCTGCCCCCCCTCTCTCTCTCCCTCCCCACTGGTCGGTTCTGCCACTAACCTTTCCCCTCCCTTCGCTCCAGAGGCCTCCCGGCGGCAGTCAACCTGATTTCAGGGTTAAGGTGAGGCGCGCGCCGCGGCGGCCACGCGAGCGTGTGTGTGTGTGTGTGTGTGTGCCGGCCGGTCCGCGGCCACGTCCCACGCTTTCTCCGGCGTCGGCCTCCTTTCGAGGAACAGTCGTAGCGTCCTCTTCCTCCTCCTTCTCTCCTCTTTCTTCTTTCTTCTTTCTTCTCTTCTTCTTCTTCTTCTTCTTCTTCTTCTTCTTCTTCTTCTTCTTCTTCTTCTTCTTCTTCTTCTTCTTCTTCTTCTTCTTCTTTCTCCTCCTCCTCCTCCTCCTCCTCCTCCTCCTCCTCCTCCTCCTCCTCCTCCCCCTCCTCCTCCTCCACCTCCTCCTCCTCACTTCCTCCTCCTCCTCCTCCTCCTCCACCTCCTCCTCCTCCTCCCCCTCCTCCATCCCCCTCCTCCTCTCCTCCTCCTCCACCTCCTCCTCCCCTCCTCCTCCTCCTCCCTGATCCTCCTCCTCCTCCTCCTCCCCTCCTCCTCTCTCCTCCTCCTCCTCCTCCTCCTTCTCCTCCTCCTGCGCACCGTTTCTCTTTCTCCGTGACGCACTTGCTGCGCTACTTCCGGCAGCCGAATGGTTTTGCTGAGGCCTCCTGGGCCTTCCCTGGAGAAGACCGGTGGAGGCGTTCCAAATCCCGGACGCGGAGACCAATCCATTCCTGGGGCCACACGTTCGGTTCGAGGCCTGCTTAGCGACTCTGGAGCTCAAGACGCGTCCGGGGTTTTGGCCGCCTGGGCCCAGTGTGCCGCGGCGCGCCCTGCGCCCTGCCGTTGGCTAGCTGACGGCGTCCTCCGGGCTGCCCCCGGCCGACCCCCCAGCGTCGATGACCGCCACATGTAAACCGGATGCCCGGCGATAGGCGGGCCGCGCGTCGACCCCTTCCCCCCCCCTCTCCCCTTCCCCGGCGAACCCGCGCGAGAAGCAACCCCCCTCCTCCCCTCCCCTCTCTCCCCCCGGACTTCCCTGGCCGCGCTGTGCTGGCAAGTAGGACGAATGGCACGCTGCCGATGGGGAGGGGAGGGGAGGGGGTTAGAGAAATCTGACGGCCCAGGACGTCATGTTGGTCACGTCGGCGTAGTACTCGGAGGAGTGGAGGAGTTATCATCGGCCGGCACCGATTTTACCTGATCGAGTTCCGAGGTCCCTCTCACACCGGTGGAGGCGGTCAGAATCCCGGACGCGTTTTGAGCTGCAGAGTCGCTTAACGAGACTCGAACCGAACGTGTGACCCCACCAATA